GCAAGCACACACACCCTATAGCAAAACTCTCGCTAAAATAAATAAATAAATTAAAGAACACAAATGTTTAACGGCAGCTCAGTTTGCAAGACACCACTCCAGATTAAGGAGTTTTTATCTTCAATATATTCTCTCTAAATTTTATTATAAATTGACTATTTAATTAATTGATTAATTTATTTTTTGGAGAGGTTTTTGCTATAGGGTGTGTGTGCTCACCAGAAAGAGATAAAGTACCAGAATCTAATATACACTGAGTGTATATAAAAAATGGTATTCAGCACAAAGTTTTTTTTTTTTTTAATTGCTAGAGGGTATGCGTACTCACCAGAGAGAGAGAAAGAGAACACGACTAAATCACATCACAATCCCTTTTTCTCCATTTCTCCATCCCATCAGGATTTTGGACTTATATGTACACATGCCCAGTGTGTTTGTCAAGGTGCCAGGGCTAGGATTTGAACCATAATCAGCCACATGGGATCCAGCTTCCTGTGCACAGCACTTAATTTCTGTGCTTCAGAGTTAGCCCTCTAGCACAAAATTATAATATATATTTTACTTCTCCATCATCAAATATATAAAAATTGATGTCTGCAGCAATGCCAGGCTTCACCCTGGAATAACTGAGAGCCCTGTCCTAAATGTGACTGTGCAGAGACCTCAGGTTCCCCTGCTTCCTTCATCCCTTGCATTGTAGCCAGATTTGGCAGCTTTGAATGGCATCAATATTATTTAGCATTTATCTGTGAAGGTTGTACCTATGTTTTTCTAGTTACTGTGCTACTTCTAAAATTGATTCCTGGGAGTATCTTCAGTTTTATGATCACTGTTGACATAGAGGAGTTGCAGGTACTCTTTGCTATAGGGCTTGTGTGGTCGCCAGACAGACAGAGAGAGAGAAACAGAAAGGGAGAAATCACGCCCCAAGAGGGGATGGCCACACCACAATCCCTCCTCCTCCATTCTCCTCTTGGGATCTTAGGCACACATGCACGCACATATGCCTGGTGTGAGTTTAAGCCACCGGGTGTGGGACTTGAACCGCGGTCAACTACATAGGAGTCCAGTGACATAGCTATTACGCAAACTGCTGGTCTCATAGGTACTCTTTGAAACAGAGCCTCTGAATCCTTTGCTGAGTTTTTTAAATTTCACTGCCTATTCATTGTGGTTCTTATTCGACTGGATACTGATTTTTCTTCCCTGATGCTAAGTGAATCAGGCCTTTAGCAGGAGAGGCAAAAATGCATTTTTGTACAGTTACTAGAAACACTGTAAGTTGTTGTTCTTGCAGACGCCCTGAACATACTCAGAACCTCTGCTGTATACAAGGCTATGCTATATGGAAATAGCCTGGAGGCCCTCTGAAGCCAGCATCTATGTCAGTGGATGTAGGATGCAAACAGTGCTGCCATTTGTCATCCCTTGAGAAGGCTTCCTAAAGTTCCTGCGGGCATAGGACTGACCAGGAAAGTCTCAGAAGGCCATCAGAAGCAGCCTCTTTAGAAATAAATTATCCACAAAGGCTCTAAATTTTTTTTTTTTTTTTTGG